AAAATAAAAAATTAGCCGGGCATAGTAGTGTGCCTACAGTCTCAGCTATGCAGGTGGTGAGGCAGGTGGATCGCATGAGCCTGGGAGGGTGACAGAGTAAGACCCTGTATCAAAAAGGATAAACACCATATACTATATCTCAAGTTAAGTCTGCTCTAATTTCAAGACAATAGGGTAAAGTTATCAAACACCAACATATTATAAGGTTGGAGTGGCATCCAACTCCTAGCTGCAGAAAAGGTGCTAGTTCCTAGCTCCTTCTCCCTCACATCAGGAGGTTAGTCATTAAGAAATGACAGATGCTGACCTTCAAGTCAGGGCCATTTGATGGATGGAGATAGTACTCTTCTTACACCTGTTGTACCAAAACTGACTTACCAATAAAATGCTAATGAAGATAGGAAGAAGAGGCTGATTTCTGGCCAAAAAGGCCTAAGGGACCACATCCAGACTGAACTAGAGAGATGGTTCCTAAGGTAACCAACCTCTTGGGGCTGGGGCTTGACTAGAAGATACAACCATATAGGAATGAAGGCAGTGAACTCTTCTTTATAATCTTCACATTGAGATTTCTTTTCTATCTATATAATGTGTGTATACTTCAATCTCTCACATTTTAATCTCACATTTTAATTATTCTCTAGCTCTGGAGATTCACTGGATGGAACACATCTGGTACTTTAAAAGTATATATTAAGTACTGATACTGTTATAGTGTGATTTTTATAAAATATATCTAAATACATGAAGATACTGCAATCTAGATCTTTCTTTTCCCAAATGGACTGCCACAATTGTGCCCATTTAGAGTCTCTGATTTTAAAGAGTTCATTTGGAAAACAGAGTTAAACGCGAGTGTTTCTATTTGTAGCAAACAAAAGTCCATCTATGGCCAGGTGCAACAGCTCATGCCTGTAACCCCAGCACTTTGGGAGGCTGAGATGGGCAGATCACTTGAGGCCGAGAGTTCGAGACCAGCCTGGGCAACATGGTAAAACCTTGTCTCTACCAAAAATACAAAAATTAGCACACGCCTGTAATCCTAGCTACTCGAGAGACTGAGGCAGGAGAATTGCTTGAACCCAGGAGGCAGAGACTGCAGTAAGCTGAGATCATGCCACTGCACTGCAGCCCAGGCAACAGAGTGAGACTCTGTCTCAAAAAAATAAGTCTATTTACTATGAGAATGATTCTGATATTCCCTTCAAGATCCCCACAATAAATAATAACCTATATACCCAATTTTATTAAAACATGTTATCTTTTATATTGCCATAATCCATGCATACAAATGTAACAATACACATCAAAACTTCTATCATTAGTTTTCACTGAAAATTCTAGAATTCAAATTCAATGAACTTAAAACCAAATGCTATATAGTTATTGATATTTCCTGAATGAATGTCAAGAGTTCTGCCACAATACATCAAAAATTCATTTCATGCAACCGAAGTGTAAGGTGAAAAACACTTTATCAATCCCTGACATAACTAATGTTTTGCTTCTATAAAAGCAAATAAATAATCAACACAACAAAATCTTATTCACTTTTTAAATAAAAACAACAAGGATTTTGTTTGGTTTATACCTAAAGAGTTAGTAACTCTAGGAAATCCAACAAATTGGCTCCAAAATATTGCTTAGCTTCAGGTTATAGATGAAAAGCGTTCTGTGCTACTTAAAACAAAGCTTTAATTGTTTCTGGGAGAAGTCAGAGAAGAATCTGAGAAGGTATAAGGTTGCCTAGTTGAAAGGATGATAAAGGATTGGTTCAACTGTCTTTTTTTCCCTATCTCTATAAATAATTCTATTTTAACTTCTATTTCCTAAGGCAGAGTCACTTGAAAGCAAGTTTTAAGGCACTATATGGGGCTGGGGAAAGGAATAGGAGAGAGAAACAGGAAAAGGCAATGATATAACCAAAATTTTAGCACAGCCCATTAGTAATTTTCCACTAATTAAATGTAATAAATATTTCATTTTCTGAAATAGAAAAAAATCATTCTAACTCATAACCCATTATGAAAACTGTACTTATTTTCTCTTGCTAATTAGTATTTGAGCTAATACAGAATATAAGACAAAAAGTATAAGATTTTATTACTGTACCTTTTATCCCACAGATGGCTATTCAGAAGCAAAAAATATATCTAAAGTGATAGATGCTTCTCTGAATATAGGCAAACTGAAAATAATTGTCTTCTCACTTCAGAAATACATGAAGTGACTATGATTGTTAAATCAACTGTTTCCCTTGATTCAGAATCTAGATTCTGAATCATTCAATTATAACTGTTTTTGAATCGCTTCCCAGCCTCCTACTTTTAAAGAATAGGTCTGACTCCAAGTTCTTCAAGTGCCCTGTTTTCAGAGACACAGTCTCTGATAAATAAAACAACAGGGTAAATAGTAGTAACATTTTTACTCTGTCACCTAGGCTGGGGAGCAGTGGTGCTATCATAGCTCACTGCAGCCTCAGATTCCTGGGCCCCAGCAATCCTCCCACCTGAGCCTCATGAATTGTTGGAACTACAGGTGCTTGCCACCATGCCTAATTCATCTTTTTAAAAATTTTTTGGTAGAGATGTGGGTCTCACTATGTTGCCCAGACTGGTCTTGAATTCCAGGCCTCAAGTAATCCTCCTGCCTTGGCCTTCCAAAATACTGAGATTACGGGCATAAACCACTATGCCCAGCCTTTCATATGCTTTTTAACCCATTCTTGAAAGACTTTTGTGATAGCCAATATATAACTTTGACACATTAAATTATTCACACATTGTGGATTAAGTCAGCTGTAATCACTAAATGATCTAATCCCAAAGCCAGCTCTAATCCCACAATGGGATCACCTAACAAGATTTGAATAAACAGTAATAGAACTCCATTCTGAGCTCTTTGAATGTATCCTTTAAAAAGTTACAAACTAAAATTATGAGACATAGGTCTTTATTACCATAAAAGTATAAGCACATTTTCCATGACATTATGTATTCTAAATCCTTAAAGACTGAAACTATGTCTTATTTCTTACGTTCTTTTTATCATGGAGTACAGGAAATCATATGCATGATAAAATTTTATTAGAACATACCAGACTGATATCCATTCATTCATACAATACTTTTGAGTGAACACTCTTGCAAGGTACCATGAAATATACTGGTGAATAACACAGTCATTTTATTTCATTTTATCTTCTCAAAACCAGTGGCGGTACAGCCAATAAAGAAACAATTACAAATTGTGTCCTAACACTAAAGAAAGCATTGAATAGGATACAGTGGTAAAAATAAATAAATAAATAAATAAAACAAAACAAAACTAATTAAAAGCTAATTAGGGGACAGGAAAGGCTGCTATTCTGAGACGGCAACACCGAACCCAGAGGATAAGTAGCCGGCCTTGGGCTTCAGCTTATTCAGTGAGAATAAGCTGAAAATCCTTGAGGCAGGAAGAAACTTGCTTATTTAACAACAAAAGCAGCTAGTGTGGCTATAACATAGGTAGTATGATACATGGATGAAAAGCCATTATCATAAAGGTGGCCTTGCTGGCCTGGTTGAGGAGTTTGGGTTTTCTTTGTTTATAATAGGAAGCCAGGAGGTTGATATAAATTGATTTACGTTTTGAAAAGAAGATTATGGCTGCTGGGTGGAAATGTATCAGGAGAAAGATGGTAAAAGAGGAAATGGGGAAACCAGTTAGGAAGTTACTGCAATAGTCTAGGCTAGAAATAATGGCAACCTAGGCAGCAATGGAGCTAAAGAGTCGACTAAGGGATATTCTTGTGGATACAAATGATAGGTTTATTTAGAAGTAAGATATTGAAAGAGAAGGAAAATGACTCACTGGTTTCTGACTTAGGCAACAGGGTAAACAGTAGTGCCACTTTTTACTGATAGAACAGGGAAAAAACAAGTGGAGAAAAAAACAACAGTCAATAGTTCTGTTTTGGACATTTATAACTTAGAGATGGCCGTTGAGATAAGCAAGCAGAAATGTCAAGGTGGATAAACAAAACTGGAGATAGTAAATAGGTTAATGCTAGAAATAGAAACTAAAGAATACTAAGCATATAGACACCATGGGAATAAATTCAATCACACAGCTTAGTGACTTTCAAATTTGGTGTACATATAATGCCAACTTACTTAATGAAGATGTGGATCTGAACCCCACATCCAGAGATTCTGATTCAGTATGCCGGGAGAAAGGTCTAAAAATCTGCTTCTTACAGTAAGTACATGGCTGATTCTAATGCAGCTGACCCTCATACTACATTTTGAGGAGCACTGATCCAGACAAAGACAGGAGAGAAAAAAAGAAGGTCCAAACTGAGAATTACAAACTGCCAAAATGTAAATCTTGAGTAAGGGAAGAAGAGTCTGCAAAAGATACTGAATAGGAACAAAAAGATAAAGAAAACCAGACTGTAGTGTACTCCAGAATTCAAGTAAAAGAAGGGAGTGTTAAACTACATTGAATACTGCTGAGAAAAAGTAAGGTAGCAAGAGAAAAGTGAACATAACAATAGATATAACAAGGAAAGTTCACTGGTCACCTTGATAGGAAGAGATGGAGATAATCTAGAGCACTTTATGTAGTGAATGGAAAATGTTATTTCAAGACATTTTTGGCTCTGAAGGAGAATAAGTAAAAGATATGGTAACTGGGGAAGGACAAAGGGTATATAAGAGGCTGTGCAGAATCCTTTTATAGTCTATTTTTGACTAGACCTTTTATAGTAGAATCCTTTAATAGTCTATGTTTTACCAAAGTAACTATGTGAATTCTGTTATTTCACATAATAAAGTCATTGTTTTTAAAAGCCTTTCTTTTCAAACTTTAAATATACCACCTATGATCACACAGAATTTTTCAGTCGTTAATATATAAAACAATTTCTCTCCTAAACAGAGAATCAAAATTTCAAATCTTCCCTTTCCACAAAAAAGTCATAACTAATTCATACCCTAGCTCTACATGTTATTTACCCTTGCAAGATCTTCTATTTCAGAACTGAAGTTTGTTTCTCCTTCCATCATTTCTTCCTCTTCTAATGTTCGTTCATCATCAAAATCGTGAACCAGCATGTCAGCTGATGGATCAAATTCATGGTCATCTGATGTTGCTGAACCTCCTGGTAAGGAATATTTCAAAAAGTTTGGTAAACCAAATTAAGTGGATCTTATTAATATTAATGTATTTATTTTTATTTGAAGCTGGATATAAGTCAAAAGTACCAAGAAAAAGCTACGCACAGCAACTATTATATATTGCTTTTTAACAGTTACAACGGCAAAATGGGAGGAAAATGTTTACAGTTTTAAAAGTGTTTATAATGTTATAAATATGAAACAAGTTGTAAATAATAAATGGTCATATCAAATAAGAACAGGTTTTTCCTGTGGAAAAAAGTCACAATTCTTTTTTGTCTTTTTCTTCTTTGAGACAGGGTCTCGCTCTGTCTCAGGCTAGCATGCAGTGACACAATCACAGCTCACTGCAGCCTCGACCTCCTAGAGTCAAGCGATCCTTCTACCTTTACCTCCAAAGTAGTTGGGAATACAACCACCACACCCAGCTAATTTTTAAATATTTTTTTGGTAAAAGCAGGGTCTTGCTGTGTTGCCTGGCTGGTCTTGAACTCCCAGGCTCAAGCAATCAACCTGCCTTGGCTTCCCAAAGTGCTGGGATTACAGGTGTACCTGGCCCAAAAAAACACAATTCTTAACCATTTGATTGATGTTTGATAGACCCAAAGAGTTTGAACTCCTCTGGCCCATGAGGAGACTGTAAGTCAGTCCTCGGCTTCTGTGTCTGTGGATTCAACCAACAGCAGACTGAAAATATTAAGAGAAAAAACAAACAAAAAACCTCTGTCTGCCTTCAACATGTACAGGCTTTTTTCTTGTCATTATTCCCCAAACAACACAGCGTAACTATTTACATAGTGTTTACCTATATTAGGTATTTTTTATATATATACACATACACACACACACACACACACACACACACACCCCCCCCAGAGATTATGTAAAGCATATAAGAGAATGTGCATAGGTTACACACAAATACTATGCATTTTGTATCAGGGATTTGAGCATCCACAATTTTGGTATCTGAGGGAGGTTCACAGATACCGAGGGATGACTGTATAGTCATGTGAAATATACAGTCATCTGAATACACAGTCTAGTGAAGACACAGCTGCACTCAAATATTATTATTCTGTAAGTACTTCCTTGAAAATACATTCTAGTGGCTGGATGTAGTTGCTCATGCTTTAATTCCAGCACTTCACGAGGCCAAGACGGGAGGATCACTTGAGCCTAGGAGTTTGAGACAAGCCTGGGCAATATAACGAGACCCCGTCTCTAAAAAAAATTTAAAAATTAGCTGGGTGTGGTGCTGTGTGACTGTCATCCCAGTCAGTAAGGAGACTGAGGCAGGAGAACTGCCTGAGACTGGGAGGTCAAGGCCACAGTGAGTCATGATCACACTACTGCACTCCAGCCCGGGAAACAGAGCAAGGGCCTGACTTTAAAAAAAAAAAAATCTAATATTTGGGTAGCTGTCCTTAATTTAGTGGATTTTGATCAGAAATAACCCAAAAGACTGAGTAGAAGAGCAAAATTTATTAAAACTGCATACAGAACTCTTATCAAAGTCATTAAAAATAATCTAGTAGGTAACTGACATGTGGTTGGGGAATACTGCTAGACCCTATAGGGTCAAGCTTTGTAAATAGCATAATGCAAAGGCTGGGCATACATAGTCTGTAAAATATCCCCATGTTTTACTACTGCCAATGTGGACCTAGATTTGCAAAAGCATTGTTTACTAATAAACAAATGAGTTACTGAACACTGAAAAATTAGCAATTTTTAAAGTTTTAACTGTTGATGGTTAGACATTAATAGATGTACCTATTCTTTCATTTCACTCCAGAAAGAGAACCAATAAGTAAAGCAAAGAGACAGAGCTGACTTCTTGAAAATCTGACTATTATGAATAAAGGAGTGCCCAAGGCTTAGGGTTTTTCAGTTACAACAATTTTCAAAAGAATCATTTTTTGAGTGCTTACTATGTGCCAGACAGTATGTTCAAGCACGTCATATACATTATCTCAATTAATCTTCAAATAATCCTACGAAGTAGGTATTATCACCCCATTTAAAGAGGAAAAAAACAAAATAAAAACTCAAGGCTTAGAGATTTTAAGTAGCAAGTCTAAACTTACAAAGCCAGTAAATGGCAAAGATGAATTTGAATTCTGGGTATACTAATCCCAACACCTATGCTTTTATTGCACTCCAAGCCTCCCGTAAATTAATTTAGTATACTGCCTCAAAGAATACTCAACGAGAGTCTATGTACTAAGACAAGTGAATGCCAGCCAGGTCACATGGCGAAGCACTTAACATCATTGTGCCCTTTCAGAAGCACAATACTGATACTAGACCAGGCGCAGTGGTTCATGTCTGTAATCCCAGTACTTTAGGAGGCCAAGGCAGGAGGATTGCTTGAGCTCAGGGGTTCAAGAAAAGCCTGGGCAACACAGTGAGACCTCATCTCAAAAAAGAAAGGAAGAAAGGAAGAAAGGAAAAAAGAAAGGAAGAAAGGAAGAAAGGGAAGGAAAGGGAGAAGGAAGGAGGGAGGGAGGAACTGATACTAAATAGAAAACTAAAAACATAATTATATGCCAAGTCAGATACCTTCTACCAGTGTATAGTAAAAATGAATTAACGCTTATCAAAGTTTTAGAATAATTTACAAAATAAAAACTTTTAGAAAAGCGTATTATCTTAATTTTCTTCCAGAAATTAAGAAAAGCTTAGCACAGTTTCAGCAGAGCATCTTAGTACTGCTTGAGGGAATGGACACAAGGGTTTCATAGGCGCACAATTTGAGAAACATTAATATAGGTGTAGTTTTCCGTCCCAATCCTTTTCTCTTCTGAGTTTTCAAAAGAAAACTCTCCTCAAACTTTTCAGTTCACTCAGGAATCTTCTGGAACACTGAGTGGTCCAGTAAATATGTATCCCTACAAATGATGCTATACTTTTCTCCCTTGTGGGCAGAAAGACCCTAAAAAGTCTTCACACCATCTCTTTGTATACTATTATCCCACTCAGAATATAATTGTAATTGGACACAGGTAATATCAAAAATAATTATGCTTAATTCCTTGTTATACTCTATTGACTTTTTAAAAAATTCAAGTTCACGGGTATACAGCATCAAATCATGTGTTATAACTCACCTGATGTCCATTTTTTGTTATTATTTGCAAAGCCAATTATGTATGAAGACTTGCCATTTCACTCCCTTATTACATCAAATAACAAAGTGTAGGTGAACTACTTCCTGTCTCACTCCAATTCCTTTCCCTACATGCACACTACACTTTTTTCCATAAACTTTCCATTTTCAGTTTTTCTCTTTCCTTAATCTGATCTGTTTCATCTGACTTCTTTTTGCCTTGTTCCTTAGAACCAACTAACCATCTTATTCTTGTCAATAGCTAGGTCCACCATTAGGCTGTCTCCCAGGAAAAAAAAAATCCCAATGATAAATTATTAGGGGTAATGGGTCTGGTGCTTTGTATACATTAAGTATTTTGCATCAGAGTTAGGCAAATGTCACTGCTTTGTCATGAAATCCCATGCTACTGCTGAAAAGGTACCTTATATCTTTTCAAAGGTAAATTTAGTTTGTATCATGTCTACTCATTTAACCACTTTTTAAATTATCTTCACCTCCACTAATTCCCTACCTCTAACGGCTACTAGTCTGACAGGTAAAAAGCCTTACATTGTGCCTCTACTTTGGCTTACACTGGAGACTACAAACAAAGCAATTAATGTGGTCATGTGACTATTATTACTAGCACTGATTGCCAAGTACAGATGCTACAAAGGATACAGCCTTTTCACCAGGGGACCGAAAAATTTTTTACATGACTATTGCTAATTTTCTCTACCAACTTTTATAACTGGTTGTAATTAGCATTATTTATAAGAACAATAAACACTGCCCTGGGCAGAAGCCTCATATGACAAATACTGTCTAACCCAAAAGATCTCAGTCTGAAAACAAGCTAAAGAAAACCGGATTTTCTGAAAATTGAACTAAACTGAAAACTGAAAACATTCAATCTGTTAAGTATTCAACAAGTAGCAAAGCGATCAAAGACTTTTTTTTTTTTTTTTGAGAGAAGGAGTCTCGCTCTATAGCTCAGGCTGGAGTGGCGTGATCTCAGTTCACTGCAACCTTCACCTCCTGGGTTAAAGGATTCTCCCACCTCAGCCTCCCAAGTAGCTGGCCTACAAGCATGTGCCACCGTGCCTGGCTAATTTTTGTATTTTTAGAAGAGACAGGATTTCACCATGTTGGCCAGGCTGGTCTCAAACTCCTGACCTCAAGTGATCCACCTGCCTTGGCCTCCCAAAGTGTTAGGATTACAGGCATAAGCCACTGCGCCTGGCCAACATTTGTATTCTTCAAACTCCATTATTCTTCCAGTTCAGCCTAGGCTGATTCAAATGTAATGGAAACTGAGAAAGCCACTTACTAATACCACTTTCTTAGTAATTATTTTATGTATGTATGTACTATCGGATGAATGCCTCAAAAATTCATCAGAAATATCTCAGTTTTATTTGCAATATCACAATACTATAAAAAACAAGTAGGACCTATTTTTTCTATGAAAACAATTTCTGTGTTTGAAAAAAAAAATCAGAAATAATTCCATGTCCTAAAAATGAATATAGTGACCTAACACTTATGTAAGATCAGATTACTCCCAATCTTAACCATCCAGGATATACATATAAAACAGAAAGTTCAAAAAAAATGGTTGAGTTTCAGAAATGCACAAAGCCTAATGCACTTTACTCTCAAGCATATTAAAAAGAGTAAGATGCTTTCAGCTGAAATCAAAAGGACAAAATCAGCGTCAACTGAGTACACTAGTCATTTAAAAAGGACATGGATGTGATCTAGTCCAACCCTCAGAGTCCAATGATTCATGTTCATAGAAAGGACCTTGCACCATGAAAACAGGCGTATCTTATGTTAAGCATTGTTAAAAGCTTTCTTCCTAAAACTTAAAACACAGAAAGATGATTGCTTCAATAATCTGGAAAATTTAGTAATACAGAATACATCATATCTAAGTACTCAATACATGTGAGATGTTTTCAAATAAAACATTACTATGCCTCACTTTCTCACTCTTCTGTATTGGACTACTCTTCAACCCACATATCCCATGCAGAACGCAGTCCCATTTCTCTTGATAGTCACGGGACACTGAGGCTAAAAGACTAGTACTTGACTCTTTCCTCACTGCTTCAACTCCAATGAATTACTATCATGTAGAAATACTGTACCTAGTGGTGCCAGACCATGGGAACCCTAAATCCAGATTTCACATATAAAATATTCTTATTTTTAAAGATCACTACAGTGGCCAAACCAAAAAAAAAAACACATTTGTAGCACAGATCTGATTCAAAGATCACACGTTTGCAATCTCTAAGGAAAAAATGAATATGTGCTATATTTGAGAAAGAATACAAAAATCCCAGGTGTGGTCAGAACATAAAACTTGATCCTACTCAAATCTAAGAATGATTTCCTTATTTAGAATATTCCTTATTTACATTACATATTCACTTGTTGAATCTTTTGCTTACTTTATTTTCCCCTCCCTCTGAAATACATTAACAATTTTTTCTCAAATAAAAATCATTTGAAATTCCTACATAAGCAAATATTTCTAATGATTTCTATTTATCTATTCTATTAAATATTTCTAAGCTAACGATACCTTTTTAAAAAGTACACTTTATATATATACTACAAGTCAAACAATAATGTACAACTGTGAGAAATACATATGGCAACTCACCAAAAAAAGGAAAACCCCCCAAAATAGTCATTTTTAGGATGAAATCACAGCAGCCTCACCTGTACTTTCATGGGTAGTCAAACATTTCATCCATTTCTTTTTCCCCAGAGAAAAGAAGCATTCAGAAGAAAAGCAAGTCAGATAATAGTCTAACTCCTCTAGTCTTTATGTAACTAATAGGACAAATGTTACTCAAACAGAGATTATAAAAAATATAGAAAATACTTACCTGGACTTGAAGATTCAACAGATGGCTGAGAAGAGGAGAAAAGAGGAAAAATTAGTATTTCTGCACAATGTATCTTCACAAACATTACCAAAATTATTCAATGACTACTATGATGCCAAAAACTACGGTAAGTTTTGATGTTTGCATTTTAGTTCTAATGTGTGCATTTTCTAAGACAAACTAAAACCTCCCATATAATCCTTTCCCTTTCATTACATTTAAGCATAAAGAAAAATTCCAAACACTCCTGAATCTAGAAATAAAGACAATAATATAGAGTTCAGATTTTAAAGGCACATGTGGACCTCATAACATATGTGGTTTAAGTAGTATGATTTTAGATCTTGGAATTTTCTGAAATAGATTTTCTCCTATCAACACAGAACTATGCACAAAGTTTGCTATCAAGCTGGTCTCTGACTTAAAAAAAGTGAGTGTGAGATGGGAGACAGAAATAATTTAGGACATTATTTCAAATAAAAATTAAGTTGTAACAAAGCAAAATGAAAAATTAAAATTCTAAGCACCAAACACTATATTAGGTTAACTTTACTGATAAACAATGTATTTTTAAGTTATAACAGAATTAGCAAGCATTCAAGCAAAAGCCTACAGAGTTTAGGTTATCTGATGCAAGACTACACAGATTTCCAATTATAATGCTCCTTCTACTCTACCATTCTACCTATTATAAATTTAACCACAACTTGAAAATTTGAAAATAAAACTGGTAGCAACTTATTTCGGTAATGTTACTGCTTGACAATGCACAGTTGTGTTTTAGTTCAGTTAATTCACAATTATAAACAAATCATCTACAAATATAAGACTCCTACAAAACAAATATTAAAAACTCAAAAGATGCTTCAAATAACATGAACTAAAGCTTCACCAATTCATTCAGAAGTATCTATTTCATGCCCATAAGAAAATACAGATGGTGGGAGGCCAAAAGCACTAGCAGAGGAAAGATAGGGATCTTGCAGTATTTTCTTTCTGCTAAGTAATGGGGAAGAGAGGCAAGAAGAAAACAGAAGAATGAAATTCTCTATTTTTCAAAAACGATGTGTCTAAGACAAATTCCTATAGGGTATTAAAATTGTTTTTAAAACTGTACATATTATGTAATTGTAGTAAGCATGGGATTCTATATTCCATATGGTGACTCACATTCTTTTGCAGCACACTATTTCAAAGGTCCTACTTTTTCTGTTAAATTCTTATAAGAGAATAATTCCTTCCTATAGCATTGTCTAGCAAAAATCTGACAATAACCAGTATTGCGTATTTCCAATGATACACCACTATCATTATTTTAAAGTTACTCTGCCAGAACACAGTAAACACAGTGCTACTTTTAAATCTCTTTGCTCTAATGGGAAGCTGGAGAACAGGGTGACATGGCAAGAGTAATGTAACCACAAAAAGGGTTTCCAGCTTGCTTAACATCTTTTGGGCAAAGCTACACAGTTCTGGTTCAAAACGGAGTTAACGACCACACAAACGACCACACAAATTATTACATAGTAAATCAATATTTTAAAATATTAATCCACTTGTGTTTCAAGTAGTTATACTTCCCAGCTGTAGGCAAAACCTTCTCTGTAAGGCTACAAGCAATGTTAATGACCATCTTCATCTAATCCTACGCTCACTACCCACACAAAATAAGACTTTCAAACATTGGAATAATTATTCCATTTAACAGTTTTCCGATTTAAGAAAAAAGGCTTTTTAATTACAAGTTACTTTATTGAAGAATAAGTTACATTTTTATTGATGCTAGATATTAACAATAGAGATTTTGAATTGTAAATGGTGTTCATATACTTCAGTTTGTAAAAGGCCTCATGAGTCGTGAATGCCAAAAAATACCTTACTGATTGTTGCTCTGGTGGTAAATAAAGTTCTGAAAAAGGCTGCAAATACTTTCCTATGATTAAGATACCACATGCTTGAGGACAAGTAGCATTTGTAAGCATAGCTGATACAGAGTACAATACCCAGTGTTCAAAGGTAACATTAGTGATTATGTCAGACATACTAGAATGTTTCAATGACTATGATTTAAAGGCACATCTAGATTAGCACAGGGGGAGAACTAGAGTGGTCTGCCTACAGATACATTTAGTATCCATATATATTTTAGTATTTTACTTCCAAAATAAAATTCTGTTCTATATGTTTGGGGGTAGGATTGAGCTTAGATTCTTTAAAGTTAAATATATCCCATTAAATCAAAGATGAGTTTCTAAAAAATTGGTATTTGAAAACATTTCATACTGTAAACATTACTTTGTATAGCTAATTATCAAAAGTGATGATCTTTCAAAATAACAAGTGAGTTTAGCATCTTAATATAGGAGATTTGGGTGTGGAATAAGGGTACTTTTTATTTAGATATGAAATAAAATAGCACATCCAGCTTACATTTATATAGTGCTACACATTTTCTTTTCTTTCTTTTTTTTTTTTTGAGATAGAGACTTGCTGTGTCGCCCAGGCGGAAGTAGAGTGGCATGATCTTGGCTCACTGCAGCCTCCGCCTCCCAGATTCAAGCGATTCTCCTGCCTTAGCCTACCAAGTAGCTGGGATTACAAGCGTATGCCACCATGGCTGGCTAATTTTTGTATTTTTAACAGAGACAGGGTTTCACCATGCTGGCCAGGCTGGTCTCAAACTAACCTCAAGTGATCTCCCTGCCTCGGCCTCCCAAAGCACTGGGATTACAGGCATGAGCCACCATGCCCAACCCAGTGCTACACATTTTCAAAAGCATCTAGTTAGCTGATCATAATCATAAATATCGAATACCTGCCCCACCTACCTCATTTTATAAATTAGTAAACCCAAGGAGATACACTGACTAGATCAAGGTTCCATGGCAGGTGGTGAAGGCAGGCCTGATGTCTAGACCCTGACTCCTCCTTCTATAGTGTTCTTTTGTACCTTCTAGAGACATAACTGCTCAAATTTTTCACTCTTCACTTCTCTCCTCCTTCACTCTCACTTTTTTCTTTTTTCTTTTTTTTGAGATGGAGTCTCGCTCTGTCGCCCAGGCTGGAGTGCAGTGGCGCGATCTTGGCTCACTGCAATCTCGGCCTTGTGGGTGCAAGCGATTGCCCTGCCTCAGCCTCCTGAGTAGCCGGGACTACAGGTGCACACCACCACACCCAGTTAATTTTTTGTATTTTAGTAGAGATGCGGTTTCACCATGTTGGCTAGGATGGTCTCGATCTCCTGACCTCGTGATCCGCCCGCCTCGGCCTCCCAAAGTGCTGAGATCACAGGTGTGAGCCACCGCGCCCGGCCTCTCTTTTCTTTTTGAAATGATTTTCATCAGTTCAAAGTATGTTTAAAATGTGACTGCAAGTAGTCATCTGTCACGTCAGACTGTTACCAGTCTTTAGAAACTGTTACTATAACAATACCTTCCAGGAAAACCCCCAACATCTACCATTAATTACTACCATAAACTAGAAGGGAGAAAGGAGAGAGAAAAACAAAACTAAGGAAGGTGCGGGGGCTCACACCTGTAATCCTAGCACTTTGGGAGGCTGAGGCAAGCAAATCACCCTAGGTCAGGGGTTCAAGACCAGCCTGGTCAACATGGCAAAATGCTATCTCCACTAAAATACAGGCGCCTGTAATCCCAGCTACTTGGGAGGCTGAAGCAGAATTGCTTGAACCCAGGAGGCAGAGGTTGCAGTGAGCCCAGATCGTGCCACGGCACTCCAGCCTGGGCAACAGAGACTCCATCTCAAAAAAACAAAAACAAAACAAAACTAAAGCTAAGTAAGTGCTTATTTATAACAATACCTATTTTTAGAAAAAATACTTTTAGGAAGGATGATTTAAAATTGGGTTTTAAAAAACATTTAAAATGCACTCATAATGTTATCAGTAGAAATAAGTTATGTCAACCACACTGGATATCATTTTGCCAACATGAACTTATCCTACTGATAGATTTAAAAACAGACACCAAGACATAGATATATAACATTCACTACCACAAAGTTGTTTACAGCAAAAAGTTAGAAAACATTTAAAGTCCATCACTTAGCTGATTAGAAAGGATACACAGTTCTTCCATACATAGTTCTCCAAACAATAGAACACTATGACTCCATTAAAAATCATGAGATATCTGTTTGTGTTGACAGAGGAATAAATGCCAAAAAAATTAGCAGTATAAAGAAAACTGTAGGACAGTGTGTAAACTGGGCTGGAATATGGAATAATATGGAATAAAATTTTTTTTCCTCAAAAGGACATACAAGAACCTGTTAACAATAGTTACGTCTAGGGAATGGGGTAAGGGAGAAGAGGCTTTTTTCATTTAATACCGTTCTGTACTGTTGAAATTTTCTAACCACTTTCATGCACTATGCATTCTTTCTTAAAATGAAAGTCACTATGGACTGACTGTCTTGCGGAATTACGAGACATTTTCATTTTCTTCCTCTAAATTTTGATTTTTAAGAAAACCAGCACTTGCTACTATTTTTTAAGCCATAATTTTGAAAAATTCAGTGTTTTGGGGGTACGTATTTATCTTATCTGAGATAGAAAACAACACTAGAGAGACAAAGACTGTATACAGAGTATGAATGGGCTAAAACAAATTAAAAACAAACTCCAGTAACTTTTATAGCAAGTTGACCCTTACGCACATATTTGTATCATTTACTTGATAAAATTGCTAATAGTTGTAACAAATATTCAATGCCTCAGGTTTGCTGAAATAATTCTTTTACATTTTTCTAGAACATGGTGGGAAATGGTCCCATACAACAGAAAACTATAATTTGAGAGTAAAGAAATAACTAACTACAACATTACCATTATTTTCACCAAAAAATACCCTAACAACAACATAATAGAAACATGAAGGAATTACTAGAATTTTTTTATTCCCGGCAATCAAAAGCTCACTTTGAATGAGTATTACTGTCTGAACAAATTTTTCTCCTCAAACCAATTCCACCACCATTTCTTTAAGTATTGCTATCACCTTCTTA